ACGTTTTAAAATTTCCACATCCAAACGACCCTATAAATCATGTGCAACATTTCAGTTGAATAATCTTGAGAACTAGTTTTTTTATTCAATTATTACATCGTATTTTTTTGCACTAATTTTGATCACTCATTAAATGGGTAGAGCATGTGGCGACAGAGGAGCAGAGTTCGAAATCCGGCAAAAAATCCGGTTGGGCCAATCGTAAAGACTTCTAAAAATGGAGTCAGTAGTAAACAAATAAAGTACAGTATTTTTATTGGGAGTGTAGGATCCCCTGCAGATTTTAGAAGATCTCAAACGCTAATAGTACAAAGTACAGTATTTTTATTGGGAGTGTAGGATCCCCTGCAGATTTAGAAGATCTCAAACGCTAATAGTACAAAGTACAGTATTTTTATTGGGAGTGGAGGATCCCTCCCGTATTTAGAAGATCTCAAACACTTTTGGAAGCCGCCATGGAAGCGAAGAGAGAAGCAGAAGAAAAAATAACAAAACAGTATACAAATATAAACAAATGTTACATAGAGTCCAACAAAAACAAAAAGCTGTACTTTCCCTCCCTATTTTATCCTATTATACATATGTCAAATTTCCTATCTTGTATACATTTTGGGAGCATGATCAACAAGTACGCGTCAATATGGCGCAAAAGAAACACCACATGACGTAGGGTTCCACAACACCTATTATGGAATCGCAACAACATGTGATGATTCTTTTGGCTATATTCAGACGGCGACTTATTGTCATTGCTCCCCTCCCTGCCTCTAACAAAGACCCTGCATGGAGAGAAAAGGAGAAACAATACAACGAAGGATTTAGTTTAACAGTCATGATCTAACAATGACATAATTAAAGGAAATGAGATCTAAAATAATACGCAGTCTCATCATTACCACTGCACCCGAAAATAAAGCATGGGATAGAAGGACGAAGAGGCGGATGGGGTTGATTTTCGGAGTTTCATATTGAGAAGATGGAAGAAAGGGTTCTTTTCAGGGATCGGAGCACGGTCTCTCCTTCACTGATTAACGAATTTATAGATTGACTCGTAATTGCTTTTACTTTCCCTCCCTTCACATTTACTGAAAATTACAGTCCCTACCACTGCCTCGGCCTTGGTAACACCAGCATTGGTTATGGGCAAAAGCGACTTTCCGAATTTGGCAATATCTGATTGGGTGACACGCCGCGGTTAGGATTGAAGCTCTTTCACCATCGGATTAAACGAAAATTTAGGAATTGACGGCGGGAGATGGGGATGTGCTTTTAGACTGGCTTTGTAGATTAACTAACTTTTTCGTTTACCAAAATTAATCTACAGATTTGGTACATGTACTTGTAACCCTAAACCCAAAACCCTAAACCCTAAACCCTAAACCAAACCCTAATACACGAACAAATCAATACCATATACTCTACAACAATAACAACACCTTATAGGCTTATACCGTAACCAATCAATAACATATATACTTTAAACCATCAACACCTTGCTCCTCCCTTATACCATAACCTTCAAGACCTTATACTGTATACCAACAACACCTTCTTCTATCTCCATCCCCAACTTTCATTTTATAATAAGTGTTTCCTTTGAAATATAAAATGGAACCCACCTTGGCAATTACTAGCATAATTTAGGGATGTAGATGAATAGAAATTGTTAAGTGATGAATTGCTAAAATTGATGATGTGGCGGTAGGGACCTCGTTTAGAAATTGTTGTTCAATTTTAGGGATGAAGATGATCAATACACTAACCCAATACCATATACTCTAAACCATCAACACCTTATACAATATCGTATTTTAGGGATGGAGATGATCAATACACTAACCCAATACCATGTACGGTGCAAACCATCAACACCTTATACAATATCGTATACCTATACGCTGATAAATTAAAATTATAACTTGCTTTTCAAAACATAAATTAAAAATTGATACTCACTAAGTATCGAACCACAAACCTCTACTTTATTGACTAAGCAAATAAGAGACAATTAACCAATTAAGCTACATCACATTGATGACCATCTTGCATAATTTCGCTTTCTTATTAAGTGAAGGGTTAAAATGAACGATAAATATATGACAGGGGATTGATTCAACTTCGGCGGGGACTGAGAGAGTGGAAAAGGGGTAATTATTCTACCAAAAAAGAAAAGAAAAGGGGGAATTAATGAAGAGTTAAATTGGACGGATTGTCTTTACCACGCCACTACAAAATCATTCGGAGCAAAAACACGCAGGTTCAAATCAAACAATAAATTTTCAGCATTTATAAGCAGATATAAAGAATTATGTCTAAGTACTGATAAATGTGTCACGCTACAATAATTATGTCTAAGTTTTTTTAGTAGTAAGGCATGATCAGCATTTATAAGCAGATATAAAGAAAATATAAAATCGAGAAAAAATAAGACAACACCTACCCTCACCCTTTAACCAATCGATACCATATGCTCTAAACCATCAACACCTTATAACCTACCCATATACCATATACTCTATACCATCAACAACCTAATACCCTAAGCAGTCAGTACCCATTTCCTTTAACATCAACACCTTATACAACAATCGTATACCTATACGCTGATAAAATTTTACATTTTGAAAATACTTGCCCAACTAAAGTACATAGGTACTTCAAAAGTGAAATTCTAACTTTCGTTTCAAAACATAAATTAAAAAAATATCCTCACTCAGTTCCAACCACAAGCCTCTAATTAGTCTACAAGAGGTTTGTTATGTACGAGTGCATTGCATAAAGAGGGGAAATCGGTGAGAGTGTGGAATGGGATCTCAATTAATGAAGAGTTAAATTGGGCGGATTGTAGTTTACCTCGTACCGCTAAATGTGTAAAGAGACACGCTAGCATTTACCAAATCCCAAAAAAGATGGAACAAAGAATTATGTTTAGAAGCAGAAGCATATGAAAATAAGTAAAACAGAGAATCGCCACTGAGATAGACAATTATCAAAGACCCAACCTAAAGACAATCCGGAACTCAGTATCTATTATCAACAAACTAGGTGTCATGGGTCATGTACAAGCCCACGTTTGAATGTTATTTAAAAGCCTGCAAAAATCAATGATCAGACCCAGTCCAACTAGAATTAGTCCTAAACGCACCGTTAATACATAAACACAAATAAAGGAGACCTCTCCATCTGATTCGAATCAAATTAGGTCTTCTTCATCTCCTTCCTCAATCCTCTGGGCGAGACGAACACTGCATATCAGGAAACCTTAATTTCACCGAGTGATAGAAGTTTCGAGAAAATGACAATAACGCTAAGACAAGATGACAAAGCACTAGCGACATGAACCCTAGGGTTAGCAAACCTCTTTCAAGGGTTCTTTTGCAAACGAAAAGTTTGATGAACACAATAATAGACATGGTCGCCGTAATCGTGTTAGAAAGAGATAGGCGAGTAAATTCCGCACGGAAATAAAATGGCGATGAACAAAACGTCGATTTGTGGATAAAAGGATTTGGGGTTCAAAACGATGATTATGTGAGGATTTCATATTGGATGGGGATCTTCTCTTCGAATGTGGATACATAGATTTGGCGTATGAAACATGATGATGTTGGGGATTTGAGATTGGATAGGGAGCTAAATCGAATGTGGATCAAATAATAAAAGGATTTGGGTTTCGAAACGATGATTTTGTTGGAGATTTCAGATTTGATAGGCAGCTTATGATCGAACTTCGAACTTAGAGGGGACCCTCCAAGGCGAATGAGGGATCGTAGAAGGGAGACTGGAAATTGGTTAGGGCGGCTGGTCGTATCCATAGGGTTTAACCTCTTAATCGATATCATTAAACCGGGTACAGTTAGGTTGAATTCCAATTAATAAAGCATAAACGCTTCGTGATGCTTTTGGTAATTTTCCTTGCCCCCGGTTACCCGTACCCCGGATTTTGCCCTGGGCACCGTAGAACTGCCCATATATATATATATATATATATATGGGGAGTTCTACGGTACCTAGGGTAAATTTTGGGGTACCGCATACCTTGAGTAAGAAAACGCTATCCGAAACTTGAATTGACTGATCTTTCAGACATGATATCATACTCTAACGCTTAAAGATCAAAATCGAGGTCTTAATTCGCTAAATCATATACCCAAGATCAATTTAATTAGAAACAATAATCAACGGTTAAGATTCGTCCAAATATAGGCAAAAAAATCAATGCATTATCTTAGGGTTTATAGTTTATGATTTAGATAATTAAGACCTAGGGTTCACTCATTAAGGGTTAGGGTATAGTATCATGCCCAAAAATCCTGCTAATTCGATGGCTAGATAGCGTTTTCATAATCAAGGTATGCGGTACCCAGGATTTCACCCGGGGTACCGTAGAAGGCACCATATATGTATATATATATATTGTAAATTTCATAAACATTTTCCGAGATAAGGTAAATAGGTTATTCATTATAAGCTAACAAATTTGTAATATTTTGTACTTTTAAATTGTACACATGAAAAGAAACAGGGTGAACCATAGCTTGTGGTAAATCTACCTCTAAAATTTAAGTTGAAGAATGCATTAGACTAACGAGACTATATAAAAAGAATATTGTAAAATATCCTAATTCCCTTCAAATATCTGAACACTTAGAAAGTAGTTACATGAATTCGGTAGAGTATCTACAGGTTGCACAAATCAAAATCCAAATCTAACCTAAAAAAGTGAGCTCTACAAAAGAAACCATCACACAACCTTAACCTTAATTTAAGCAGTAAATAACAGTACATAAACCAATCTAAATATAATGGGGATTTAACAACTTATAACATCTTAAATATTATGAATGACATCTAAAACTCAACATCCCAAACACTTTCTAATGTCAAAAGTAAAGCTTGCAAAACATACATACAATAAACCAAACTACGACACCATGTAACAAATAGAGAAACCCAACCCTTCAATTGAAATCAAAGTGCGGCGGCCATGACTTCATCCACTAGCCCCACGTATAGCTCATCTGGAAACTTTTAAGACCAGCACCAGCACCAGCACATCGGTTTTTATAGTCCTTTGGCAAAGGAATGAGATTGTCAATGCATGTCCAGAAGCAGAAAGGCACCATAGAACCATCGTTCCTAACAACGAAGTAGGCCGGATAGCTCCCCACTGTGGGCATCCGAATTCGTACTGATTGGAGACCCCCTCCCGAACCAACCTTCTTCTCCCACTCTGGATCGCCCTTCTTCAGCAAAGCCAACACTACCGTTTGAATAACCTACATACACAAAACCAAAAAATTAATCCAGTTGAGTCTTCAAAGCAAGAAAGAAATCCATAAAACTGATTGATGGCTCCAAAATGTAGAACATGCAATAAAGGCTGGGATAGGAAAATATCATAGAGCACAAATACCGGGTCGGTGATAGGAGACTCATATGGCCAAAATTGATTCAAACTTCCGAAATATGAAAACATTTGTGTGGAACTCTGAAATTTCAGCCAACCCAAGGTGACACCACCTTCCCCATCTTCTTCATGATGACAGCTACAAGGACCAACGCATTGTTCTTTAAATTTCTCTGTCAAGGGAAAGATATGATCAACACATTTGATGAAGCAGAAATCCTCCATAGAACCATCTCCCCTAACATAGTAGAAGCTTCGCAGATCACTATCGTATGCTGGATGGATTCGAACTTGAAATGATTCGACGCCAGAAGAACTAATCTTTTTTCCCGACTCTGGATCACCCTTTTTCAATAAATCCAGTAACATCAGGTGGGCATGCTTCTACAATCACACCCACAAGCAATAAATGACATGCAATCTATGTTTAAATACAGATCAAAACAAAAGTAATGGGCATGAATGAATAAACGCATTACCTCGACGAGAGTCTGATTAAGTGGGGACCTCATAAGCAACGAGTAAAAGTATCTATACATATGCGTGGAGTAATAGAATTTCTTCGAACCCAAGATGACGGTGTTGAGCCTTCCCATCCTCTCCTCCTCATCTAGCCTAGCATTTTGTTCTCGTGTAAGCCTTTCACGTTCCTCTGCCACTCTATCAGCATGCAAACGACCCATGCCTCCTGCTATATGACATGCACAAACAGCAACAACACCACCACCTTGATCTTTCAAATTCTCGGGTAATGGAAGGATGTTGTTTACACAGGTCCTGAAGCAGAAATCTGCGGTCGAATCATCTTTCCTAACGATAAAGAAGGTGCGGAAGTGGCTGCACATCGTGTCATTTCGGACTCGAAATGAATCGACCCCACAACCAATCATTTTATGTGGCTCGGGATGACCCTTCTTCACCAAGTCCAGCAAGCTCGGCACGATCCTCTGCCAAAAGAATGTGCAAGCAAGCAAGCAACTGAATCAGATAACTGTACACAAGTAAGTTAATTTCACAGAGCAGAAGAATCAGAGCATTAACTAAAGCACCCCGTCCAGAAGATAAAAAATAATCTAATCAAAATCTATCAATGGTATGAGCACGATAGACTTTCACAGACAGCATTATTGAAGCCTTGGATATATAACTAAAGACCCACCATTCCCTTCCCGACTTGATAGAAAGAAAAACAAGCTAAGCATAACTGACAAAACAAAGGGAGTAAAGCACTAAACTACACTATACATTCCCACATCATCAATGCTCAAGCTTGTACACTCAGATTGATGTTCGAAGGAAGGCAACCTTGGCTGCAATTAAGCAAATAAACAAAGGCAGTAGCAGCAAATGAAGTGAAAAGAAAAAGCGCAACCAACAAACACATCATGGTCCTATCCTGAAGAGATGAGGATCATTCCTTGCAACACAAAGAATTAATCAGCAAAGGCGAGTGGAGATCTAGTTCCAGAAATCAAATCCTAAATTATTTATACATAAGCCATCGAACAACAGCAACCCCTAGCTAGCTCACGCGATGTATCTATCTATATGTCAAGCAATCATTATTATATTTATGAAGACAGAGGAACAATGGAATAGAATACCCACATTGACGACGGGGAAATTTAGATAACTACCGGTCATCCACCCTTTGACAGTTTGAAACATCTCACGGGAAGTCGTGAATTCCATCGTACCCAAACGGACCACCCCCTCCATTCCGGGGGCTCCGGCGTCCTTTTTCCGCTTCTCCTTCTTCCAGACATCATCGATTCTTCCGGCGTCGCCGCTCTCTGCTTCCCCAGTTTCCTCCCTTGCTCGCTTTACAACTTCCTCTGGATTCCTTCCCCTAAAAAAAAGCTTCCTCTAGATTCCTTTCAATGGCCATATTGCGGGAGCCTAGAAAGAGAGACTGATAGGGAAGGAAGTTTGTGATAACCGTGTCAGAGGAGGTGAATTTGACTACTAACGTCGCAGAGAGGAAGAACGAGAAGAAGAATGTAGAGGAGAGGAGAGGAATTGGCCAATTAGAGTTTCCGACTACACGTACGGAATCGTTGGCAATCCCTTAGTCACTGACTAAGCCCCCACAACCTTTGGATTGATCTGATGGTCCAGATAAATCAATTAATTATTATTAAATTAGAAGGGTAGTTTTGACATTATTAATAAATTATTAACTTCTATTTTTTGATTTTGTTTTATTTATTATTATTGAATTTTTTTTCCATATGCAACACGTCTCTTCCCTTTCCCTTTTTTGCAATGTCCAGAGAGAGATAAAGCCATGCCGGGGGAGGAGAGAGAGAAAGAAAAAGGCTGCGGCGCTACGCTGGAGGAGAGAAAAAATAACAAATATGTTGGACAAAAATAACAAAGCTTACAAACATTACAAAACAACTCGACAAACATTACAAAATAATAAAGCTTACAAACATTACAAAACAACTCGACAAACATAACAAAATAACAAAGCTTACAAACATTACAAAAACAACTCGACAAACATTACAAAACATACTAACAGTACAAAATAACACTACTTACAAATACAAATCAGTAAACTTGTATTACAAATCAATGAATAGAAAGTGTGCAAATCATAACATAAAGTATACAAACTAGACAAACAAACATTACAAATTACAATATATACAAAATAGTCATATAAACATTACAAACACAACAGACTAAAATAACAAAGTAGAATGATAAACGATACAAACCGAATTGGTATAAACAATACAAACTGAACTTATAAACATTACAATATAGGTTGACAATCATCACGAATTCAACACTGTTGCCGAAAAATCATCCACCACCGTCTTTGGTCGCCGGAAAACTGCTCCACCGTCGCCGAAAAAGTTGACAAGAAAACCTCTCTCTCTCTCTCTCGAAACTCCATGATAGGGGGGAATATAATTCCCAAAATTTCCATCAGCTCTCTCTCTCTTTTGGGGAATTCCCCTAGAATAATGGCGCATGAGCTGCCTGGAATAATGCCGCATGAGCTGCTCGGCAATTGCCCAGGGGAGCCACCGCCGACAATTAACAACCCGACGGAGACGGGAGGCGGCGCAAGGGGACGGGGCTGGGTTAAATTTTTTTATTCATTTTATAATTAAAAGTAAAAAATAAACATGCAATTACTATATTACCCTTCATTAAATTGGATTAATAGGAGCTCTTGGATTTTAATGAGGTTGAGTGGCTGAGATTCACTTAGCCATGTGACTAAGGGGACCCCCTTAGTCACCTGATCTTGGCCCGATTTTATATATACAGTTAATAATAGACACATGTCCCAAAACAAAATCTGATACAAGTAAACTGTTTGATCAACTCGATTCGTAACTCGACAGCTATTTGAATTGACTAAAATTTAGTGATTAGTAATTCGTTGGAACTATATCCCAATTGATCCGCAAACCGATCAACCTGTAAACCAACTAGTCTGCAACTCGATTAATCTTAACCCGATTAATACACAACTTGATTAACCCGTAACTTAATAGATCCGAACTTGATTAAACCGTAACCGTCAATAATCCTATTCACAACTTCACTTAATTTACAAACACAAATATATGATAATAAAAAGGAAAAATATACTTGTATAGCCAAAACTTTCGCGTTTGTACCAATAATACATACCACTTATAGCCAGATCCGTCCAATTCTTTAATAGTGTTTTTTTTATAGAACAACCTGTATTATTTCATTAATGTGAAATATTACAGGAATCAAGGATAAGTTGGTCCACCAGGAAAATTGGTGGCCTAGAGGCCCAAAGTTCAGTTTCATCCCACCCACATTGGATATGGGCCATAGTGTGGGCCGCCTTATTGCTTTCTCGGCCCGCAAACTGGATCTCCATCGACCCATCGAAATTGTCGATCATCTCTCGCACTTCAGCGCTCTCCACTCCTTCCTCCGATATCGACATCTCTTCCTTTTTAATTTGTTGCACAGCCCTGAGACAATCCGAATCCATTTCTCCAGACACAAAACCCTTCTCCATCGCAATCTCTAATCCAAACTTTATAGCTTGCAACTCAGCCAATTCCGCTGGCCATTGAATTCTTGTTCTTCTAACCGCAGCACAAACAAAAACCCCATCTCTATCCCGAACCACGATCCCCAACCCGGTGCCAGCTCCGGCAAACATCGTTGCGTCGACATTGATCTTGAAAGCGACAATGTCTGGAGGTTTCCATCGAGCCACCTGCCTGGGAGCCATCTCCGATCCTTTTTACTGATATTCAAGGTACTCAGCCAACCAACGCTCCGCTTTTCCCATTATTTCGAATTCCTCCAGTTTCTTCTTGTTCCAACACTGACTGTTCCGTTCTCCCCACATGAACCAGAGGGCCGCCAGAAATTGGGCTATCTGCTCGTCGGACTCGGTCTCGTGCAGAGCCACCATCCACTCTTCGGAGGTTAGATCCTTACCCTTCTCGAAACAAAGCTTTAAGGAACTAGGGCACCAAACTCTCCTAACCCAACTACAATCTTGAAAGAGATGGTTTTGTGCCTCCTCTTGTCCACAAAATGGACATTCATCGCACCCTTTAGTCGTTCTCTTAAGAATATTAGCTCCTGTTGGTATGATATTGTGAATCCATCTCCACGCAAACACTTTAACTTTAGGAGGGATTTGGAGCTTCCAAATTCGTTCCCAGTTAATAGGGGTGTAGATTTCTCCCATTTATGCCTCTTTGGTAGCTCTCAACGCCTTATAAGTCGACTTCACAGAGTATAGACCAGACTTATCCCTTCCCCAGATTCTCTTGTCTTCTGCTGGTTGTCTCAGTATTGGGATTCTCAAAATGTTCAGTCTATCTTGAGGGAGAAAATGAGTTTGTAATAGAGCATGATTCCAGGTTCTTGTCTCTGTGTCCATAAGCTCATTCACTGATGTGTTTGAGGCAAATAAGGAAACTGGCGATTGAACTCGATAGTTTAGGGAGGTAGGAACCCATTTGCCCTGCCAAATATCAATTTTGTTTCCATTTCCCACTCTCCATCGCAATCCTTCCTTCATGAATTCTTTAGCAGCTAGGATGCTCCTCCAAATATAGCTAGGGTTATACCCTCCTTCTGCTTCCAAGATGTCACAAGTCGGAAAATACTTGGACTTCATCACTCTTGAGACTAAAGAAGTTGGATTTTGAATCATCTTCCACAACTGTTTTCCTAAAAGAGCCAGATTAAAATCATGCAAATTCCTGAATCCAAGACCCCCTGGTTTCTTGGATCTACACAGCTCCTGCCAACTAACCCAATGTGTCCTGCGTTCTGAGTCTTGTTGTCCCCACCAGAAGTTCGAAACGATACTCTGAGTTTCTTGAGCGATTGATATAGGGACTAGGAAAACCTGCATTGCGTAAGTCATTTGTGCTTGGGCTACTGCCTTTATCAAGACCTCATTCACTCCAAAAGAAAGCAATTTCCATTTCCACAACTTCACCTTCCTTCTGACCCTGTTTACAAGATAGCTGAAAACCTCCTTCTTCCTCCTTCCAACTATAGTGGGTAGGCCGAGATATTTGGTATGAAAAGGTACTACCTTCATTCCAAGAATGGAAGCCAGTTCCTGCCTTTTTACCTCCTCCACATTAGGGCTGAAAGAAATTTCGGATTTCTCAAGATTCACCTTCTGTCCATATTCCTGTTCATATAGGGTCAGGATATCTCTCAATTGTATGCATTGTGGAGTCATTGCTTTTGTAAACAGAACACTGTCATCTGCCAAGAGTAGATGAGAGATCGTAGGAGCTCCTCTTTTATCTTGTATTCCTGCTATCCTCTTGTCTCTCTCAGCCTTCGAAATTAGAGCAGATAACCCCTCCGCAATGAATACGAACAAGTAAGGGGATATTGGATCTCCTTGTCTCAACCCTCGAGTAGGAAAGAAAGGTCTATGTTTGGTGGCCATTAACCATAATTGAGTAGGAAACAATCTTAACACAAGCCATAATCATCGCCACCAATTTGTCATTGAACCCCAATTTAAGCATAATAGACTCTAGAAAGTCCCATTCCACCCTATCATAAGCTTTTGAGATGTCCAATTTGGCTGACATAAAGCCTTTCTTCCATTTTATCCTGCCTTTCATTGAGTGGAAGCACTCAAAAGCCACCATAACATTATCTGTGATAAACCTCCCAGGAACAAAAGCACTCTGAAACTCATTAATCACTTTGGCCAAAATTTGCTTGAGTCGATTAGCCAGGACCTTAGATAAAATTTTGTAAAGTACCCTGCATAGGCTGATAGGTATATAATCCCTCGGGCTCACTGCAATTTTTTCTTGGGAATCAGTACTAGCAGAGTATGATTGAGAGTCTGAGGAACGTGCCTGTGTTTAGGTAATTATGGAGCTCATTTGTGACATCTGGTCCCACAATATCCCATTTCTTCTAAAAAAAGAGAGCTGACATTCCATGCACCCTGGTGCCTTGTGAGGTCCCATTTTCTTTAATGTTGTCCAGATTTCCTCATTCGTGAAGGGTTTTAGGAGTTCCTCATTCATTTCTGTAGTGACTTTGCATGGGACTGCTTCCAAAATATGACTTATAGAGACTCGGTCACCTGTAGTGAAAATAGATTTAAAGTGGTTAGTTAAAACATTGGTCACTGCACTGTGACCCTCCCTTATTACTCCTGTCTCATCCATTAGCTTGCTTATAGTGTTTCTGTTCCTTCTATCAGACGCCTTACTGTGAAAGAAGTTTGTGTTTTTATCCCCTCCTTGAAGCCAATCTGCTCCGGAATGTTGCTTCCATATCAACTCTTCTTGCATCATAATCTCATTAAG